ATATTAGTCTGTCCTGTGCATACCAAAGCAACCGTTTGTCTCATGATTCCTTAAGGTTGTTTTGATTTAATAGCAGCCTTTTATTCAATACTTCATCAGCCACTAGATGAGAGCCTGTGTACTATAATCACATTGGTTGTGTGTTTGTGTCTAGGCTTTCGCTTATCTACTTTCATATGTCTGTACACCTCTGTGTGAGTGTTGCAGTCCGTCTCTTTACATGCATACATGTGTATGTTTATATTTAGGTCACGATTATGTTACACCAAATGGCTTTCACAGGCCAAATGTACTGTAAGTAGATATGTTCCTTTCTCATGTCGGCGGATTGACTCCTGTGGCGGGGGCAGGCTGCTGACATGGTGGGAGGTTAGAGTGAATTTGCCTGTAATCACCTCAGGAACCTGACTGAGTTTCTTAATTGATTTCTTCTGGAGTTGATCTCTGTTGTCCACTTATTGTCTACGGACAACACTGCTCTACTGTAAATAGAATGTCATTACATCAGGAGTAAATCTTATTGGTTTATGTTACAGGAATGCTATTTTGGAAAACCAATTTATTGATGTGGCTGAGTATTCCTGATTTGGTGGTATATAATTAAACTGCGCTGAAGGCTCTAGCCTTGTTTTGCAAAGCACTTACTTAAGCTTCAGCATCATTAGTGTCAGACTGCTACAAATATTGATTCTGCATAAAAATTAATATCGTACTTTATTAATCCCCAATGGGAATTCTGGTGTTGCATTTGTCACTTCACATAAATGTACTTGTTCCAGCTGCAAGTCTGGATATAATCAACTCATCACTATATCGCAGGACCATAATTTCAATCATTAGAATAAATAAATAAATATTCAGAAAAACCTAATATTCTTCAGTGCTACTAATTCATTTGTGGTAATTTCAGTATTGTATTATTTAATGTTTAAAGTACGTCTGGAGTTATCCTTTTGATACAGTTCTTTAAGGCAGAGCCCATCAAACTTCATGAGATTATAAAGAAATGGTATATAATCAAATTATTAAATTAAAAAAACTTCAGCGAGACTGTTAAGTACTAAACACCCAAATTCATACAAGCTGGTCATTGTTGTGGCAGGTGAGAGGTTTCACTGTTTAAAGTGCCCTTGAATTTCAAACTTAATGAATTATAGAACTTTTGAATTGTCTGTGCCGATGAATATGTTTGCTGTTGTTGTTTTCATAATGTATGCTGCAGATGTGTGTGTGTGGTTACATTTTCAGAAGTGTCAAGAAGGGGGAGGTAGTGTGATGCTGTGGGAAAAGTGCTACAAGGAAATCTTTGGCTTTGGCAGTGATCCTCTTTATCCTCCTTCAGGAGGATAGCATACCGTGGCATCATTATTAGTATCTAAAATGCATATCTTGTAAAATCATATTTGCCATTAGTACACTTTCAGAAAAGGTGTAAAACTTTTCAAAGCTGCTGAATGTGTTTAAGCTGTACGGTGATGATGATCAAATGTTGATATTATTGTCCAAATGTGCAGTTTAATTGCTGTCAGTCAAATTCTTTAAAAAAAATAAAATAAAATTAAGTTGAGGTATTTCATGTACTTCTATTTAGCTCACTGAGCTTTTTTCCATTGTGGCCTGTTCTGTGATTTGGAGCTGGATCTCTTCTGATAGTTAGACAGACGATCAGGCCCGAGTGTGGGGGTTGGGGATGATTATGTGATCTTGCCAAAATCCACAGGCAGTGCTGATTATTTGTCAGGATTTGTTTTGTCATAAAACAGCTTATCTCCACAGGTTCAGTCTCAGTCTCTGTGTCTCTCTTTTCTGCTCATACTGTCAGTTTTTGTCCATATTGTAGACTCTACTCAGTTTCATGTTACATTGTTTGTTTTTTAACCCCAAGGCAGCTTATACTTAAAAACAGCAGGCAACAAACACAAGGGAAGTATTTCCTGGAGGCCATATGCAATGTCCATGTCTTTCATATGAACACACTCTAGTCTTTGTGTTGTCTGCCTTGTTGGAGGTTAATTACTCAGTCTTTGATAACATATTATTGGCAGGCATTGCCACAGAGATACTGTGCCAATCAGTTCAAGGCATCCTTTTCTCTACTCTACTTAAAACATTAACAGTGATTAATGATGTGTTAATGTGTTTCATAGTTGAATGTTTTGATTACAGGGTTGTCTAATGGATGTTTTAAGTAGAGAAATTATTCAGTAAACTATTGCAAAAGAAAAAAAAAGACTGGTTGGGCAGTAGCTTTTGGGATTCATTCCAGACACCCCTGCATAGCCAGTCTTATTTTTTGTGTCAGTTTAATTGTGTTTTGCAGTGATTTAAAGTTATGAGTTGATGATGAGGTATATTACATTTCTATATATTTTAGGTCTCTTTGGGTTAGCTCGGTAGGCGGTCTGTCCAGCCAACCGGCTCAACGCTGGCCCATCAGGGAGCAGGGGCACGGGATAATTGCACAAAGAAGCTGTAATAAGTGAGATTGAATTAGCGCTGCTCCGACTAAAATAAATTAAAGAGGTCATTGTGACATGCAGGCTACTAAACAGACTCGTTATACCTGCTCAGTCATTTATATCATAATATACGGTATGATCTTGTCTGAAAATAACGAATTGCAATGCAACTATTGTTTGTGTAGACGGTTTTGTGCTGAGCTACATCCAGCTTTAGTTTAGTGACATCAGAAACATGTATTATTCAGAACAAGGATGAAAACAAAAGGGTATAATGAAAATGATCTAAGATAAAGAAATCAGTTTAGCTGTAATGCTTTGCCTGTGAATTAATAGATTTTTTAACACGTTTTTCAATGTTCACTTTACTATTTGACTTATTTTGCGCGTCTATATAGTATTGATTATTTCTTATGGGTTCTATCCTATTGATCATGATAATTATTATGTTTTTTAGGGTTTTGGTCTTTTACATACAAACACCTTGAATTGATTGGAATAAATTGTTCGTTACAACCCTCATGTGAAACATCAAAATCTGCTCTGTGCTTTGCACTGTTAAACATTGTCAGGAATGGATGTGGACTGTCAAAGTACAATCCAGGTCAGCTTGTGAATGGCAGTAGATGAAAAATGACCTTGTGTGCACCTATGAACGTTGAAGTGAATGGAGGCAGTCCATTACTTGAGCAGCCATGTCTTGTGGCTGGGGTACAGAGCAGGGCAGAGACAGCCTCTGTCCAGATGTCTTCTTGTGTTAAGGAAATTCTGGCTCTGCCTTCTGCCATGAGAAACAAACGCTAATTGCCCATTGGCCCTATGTAGGAGATGTGCAGCTGGGGACATGTGGCTAAAAATAGTAGCGCTTGTTCCCATGAGTGGCGGGCACACAGCACCATAGTATTAGTATTCAGGACTAAAGCATGCCATGGATAAAAAAGGTCATCTTCAAGCCATGACCACAAATTTCATGGTGAGGCAGCAGGGTACACAGCTACCCAACCCCCTGGTAGCTGCTATCAGCACCTCAGGCTTCATCTTGGTATGGACCTACCTATTGAACCATTGTCCTCTCTCCGAGCTGTGCAGAGAAATGTCACATGGAAACTGCAAAGCCCGTGTCATGACATCCTGTGTTTTGTTTGTAGCTCAGCAGCACCCATGCTTGTTCCATGAAGTCTTTCCCTCCACATAGCGGTGGCCCTCCATCCTTGAGTCGAGTTACAGCGCTCCCTCTGTGACACAAAAGCTGCATCTGGTTCCACCTGACTGGAGTCATGAATAATTGAATAGGGGACATTATAATTTCCAGCCAGCTCCACTAACTTGGCAATAACAAGCAGTTTTGGTAGTGGTATCATTATGCTGGCTAAGTGGCTGAACACGGAGAGAGGATGTTATTTGACTATACTTGCATCTTTTACTTTTGTGGGTTTGTAAGTATTTGGTTAAATGACTGCTTAACTGTTATTTGTATCGCTACACTTTACGGTTGTTTCCAAGCTTTGGGAAAGAGAGCTGTATGAAATGGTAAGGTGACGGCATTAATAAAGTAACTATGATTCCAATCAATATACGTATTAACAAGCAATAATGGGATTCAAATCTTGTTAAATTCTGGTATACAAATGACATTATGTATGGTTAAATACTTCTTATGCAACTAATCTGGAACTTTATTGTACCTAGTGTCAAGCTGAACACATGTTCTATTCTGTGCAAACACATTCTGTTTGCACACCGCAAAGTTAATTGTCACCTGTACTCCCACTCACATCTCCTGCTGGCCCTGAGCGGACCCTCGGCGGACATGGCAGAAGTTATAAAAGATTGAATAAGTTATTTAAAACTTTATTTTGACATTATGCTAATCAACCATTGTATTTTCTTTACATAGCAAATGCTTCATATAATCCTTTCACTAATTTAACTTTAAAGCGATTACTGATGAAAGCTTTATGTTTTTTTTTGTCCTCATCACTCCTACAGCTGAGAAATGAAGTTTTGTCACTCCACCATGTGGACAACTTTTGTCTTCTAGAGGACAACAGCAAAGCTCTGCGACTCAATCCAGAAATTCTGAACCACCAAAGGCTGCAGCAGAAGTTACTGGTGAGTTCTTGGTGTAAAAAAGGAGATGGAGAGAGATGCTGACGCTGGACTTGGCCACTAAGCATTTCAGGGCTGTAGAAGGCTGCTGTGGGGGGAATTAGATTTAAGCTGTCTCTGGCTTTCTTGTTCTTGCATTGGATATGAACCAATGATCCATGAGTCACTTAATTCTCTGTTGCTTGAACTATGAGATGAGTAGCGCTTACGTCTGTTTGTGTTCACTGAATCATCATAGTGACTAACTGGGGTCAAAGTGGTAGTTTTCGTCTGACCATGTCTAGGGAGAAGCTGCCCGCTTGCTCTTTACCGCCTTTTAAGACTGTCCTCCTCCCGAATGCAACCCCACTGACGTGATGACCGTGCAGGAACATCCCACCAATAAATGCCCTGAAGAATATGCAACCTCTAGCAGTCATGACAGAGAGAATCCATGTTAAGTGTCAAGTGAAGCACACAAACGTCATCTTCGAGAATGACCTTCACGCTGTAGAAAGAGTTCATTTCAGCTTTCCGCATGATCAGTCATTTTCATTCCCTGACCAGCCAGTGGTGTTGCCTAAACTGGTATCAAAGTAACCAGCAAAATGACACCCATGCGGGTAATGGTCACGTTAAACAGGTCATGTTAACACGTGGCCAAACTGTGTCTGAAAAGGTGGCTGACAGGCATGAGCACGGTGCCTAATGTTTATTTCTGTTTAACATGAGCCATGCCAGAGCATCAAAGTGAATGATTGGAATATAAAAACATTTTTCATTAATCATCACAGGCATCAAGAAAGAAAGGAGCATGATTGTATTCTCTGCGTGACTATTAACCAGCATGCCAGCAACAGAACTGGAGAACCAATCATTTCTCACTTACTGATTGTAACAATTTTCTAAGCTATATCAGGTTGAAAATGTTTTTTTTTCTTCCTCACATCCTCCCATATAGTTATAATGGAATGAGTTTTTTTAATATTACACCAAAAATGTTTTGGGTACACTAATACAAATCTTTTTTGTATATTTTTTGTATAATTTGGTAATATTTTTTTTCTAGTTGCTGGTGCATTAACCTGGAATTTTTAGTCAGCTGGAAATTAAGGTTCTGCCGTGTGGTAACGCAGCCCCCAGGTGCTTCTTGGTACTTTGGGCTCAGAAAGTGTGCATAACAAGTTAAATCAGGCGGGCGAACACAGTTTGAAGGTTCAGTTATTCAGTCCAAAGCTGGTGTGCTTATTTGGTCATAAACAGGTTTCCTTTGGTGTTTTGTATATTGGTGCTATGACGGAGTAAACTGTGAAATCACAAGTTTTTTTCATATCTATTGGGATGTTGACACTTAGCATTCTGGCTTTGTTTCACTTCTTCACTCTGACTTGGTGAAGAGACACTGTGAGCGTGTCACTGAGGATGCTGTGGACAGTAAACAGCAGGTTTCCTCAGCAAAGTTGGCTTAGTCTTCCTCAGGCTTCCTTCAGGCAGCGATCTCACAGCGGAGGCTTCTTGTAATTCCCCTGGCTTCCCCCAATGTCTGGGGCTCAATATGAATGAGCTCCATCGATTAAACCTCACTGTGATGCTTCTGCAAAGAGAAGGAGCCTCGTGTGTGTGTGTGTATGTGCTCGTGCATATGGGCTTGCTGGCTTTCTTTCCCGTGTCTTCGCACCACACAGCAGACTGTTGTTTTCACAGAGGGCAATGCTATGAGTGACATCTTTTGGCTTCACCATAAACTGAAGCTATGTTCTTAACAGCTTCTTCGTGTTTGTTGATGAACAATGTAGCTGATATTTCCAACACGTCAGATGAGGTTCGGCACACAAGGTTGCTGTCAGTATCACGTTTATGCATCCCCGTCTCCTGATTTAAATCACGAGTCGCTGCACAAGTACGCAGAGGCGCAGATATTCTCCTGTGTTTCACAACCTTAAAACCTTTTCGTCCTCCTTCCAGGGTCTGACAGCTGTAGTCTATGGGGGTGCGAAGTTATCGCTATAGACTGTGATTGTTTCCATTATGAGGGTGGTGTGAACTTTATTTTTAAACTTTCTCACTGCTTATGATAGGACACTTGATAATTATTTTGTCACCGTGTCTTCAGGGCTTGCCTGCCATTTCACTTATAGGCAGCCACATTTGCAGGGCAACCAAACAGGAATGAAAAGAAAGTGCTTTATAAGCTTTGTGAATTTGTCCCAAGATATTTTCCAGTATTTCTGTAGAAATGCTGGATAAAATATAACAGAGAGGATATTTAATGTGATTTTGTTAAAGACATTTTACACATTACTGAGAAGCTCTTTCATTCTTTGTCTTAGAAAGAAACTAAGAAAGCCATTGTGTGAGGCCGATGTCTCTCAGAAACTCTGCCTTCGTTCTGGTGGTGGTTGCTATTGTATCATTAGCTAAGAGAAAGATAGACTGGAAGGAACAGGAATCTTGGTGAATGGGTGGGTGGGTTTAAGGCGGTAATATTAGGTCCCCTAGGTGGAGAAAGAGCTGATTATGAATCCTGAAAGATTGCCTTAGCAACATTAATTACCAATACTGCACGGCCCCTTTGTAAGACTGAGAGAATTGCTAATGAAAAACTGGCAGAGCAAGAGGCACTTCTTCAGCAAGCTCCATTAGCTCACAGCTCTGTTATCTTATGAAAAAGATGCAATCAATAAACTGCACGTGCATCCTCGCAATGGCGTTTTCTTTAGATATACAGCTATCTTCAAACAATCAATTATTCCCGTCTCACACAGCATGTGTGTTTTTTATGTGCGCAAACTTACCACCGGGTTATTTTTTTATTTTTAGATTTACCTTGCCCTGGGGATTGTCTACACTTTCTGTAGCTTTGGCATCTGTACTCTTATGATTTGCAGTTTCCTTCTGCGGAAGGAATCGGGCCATTATTGACATGCTTTCCTGTTGTTAGTTTATAGTGTTTTCTTTGTATTAAGTTTTCCACTGTATGTGGGAAATTGGGGGGGGGGCTTTCCCAATCTTCAGTTTTTGCCAATAAATAATGCATTTGTGGTTTTGCGGTTCTGTCTGTGTTTCCAGCACATTAAGACAGGACGTGCAGCATTGTGAGTCATCTTCTGAATTCGAACATAGTCACACTATGCAGATTTGATCTGCTGGTAGTGCTATCCATTTACATGATCAAAACAGAATTTGTTAATCAAAGAGTTATGGTCCCTTTGTAAAAGATGAGACATTTTCTTGCAGCTGTTATCAAGACTGCATGAGATACAAACCAAAGCTAGCCCTGATTTAGAGCTCCATGTGTTTTCTTTCTAAACGATCAGTGAATCTTGTCTTATCAGTGTATTTGTTTATAAGTACAAAATCAGTAGCATTACTGTCTATTGCTGTGCCTTCCTTGTTTTATAATCAATTGAAACATGAGGTCAAGATATGACTAAAAACAGTGAAAAAGGCATTGTATTTGAAAACACTGAAATCCAATCATTTTATAGAATATGCTGCTTATCTGTTCAACTCTTGCTGTGACACCAATATACAATGAAAACTTCTAAATGAATGAGTCATGCTCAACAAAATCAGATGTTCCAGTGTCACATGTGGAAGATTTTTCTTTCCTCCAAGGTTATTAGTATAACCTTAAGACTTTTGCTTATCTCTAAAATGAAATCCCCATGTGGCAGGACAGGATGGAGCATCAGACAAACAGGCACGGATAGATGTAAATGTTCGTAATTTGTTTCAGTGTGCGAGCATTGTGTTTTTGTGTTTATTCATTTCTCTTGGTGCATGTATTGATGTATGTGGTCCCCTGTGCTGGGGGCCAATCTCATGTTTACATCACTTATAATGAAATTAGAGCTGCGTGGCGCCCACACTACAGGCCTTTACTGATTCTCTAATTCAATTACTCCCCTTATTAACGCTCAGATGCTGCTGGCTGACCCAGGACCACACACTGCTTTTGCTACACAGTGTTTATTCAGTGGCCCTTTTTTCCTTCTCTAATGGACTGATGAGTTATCATTGTTTTACAGATGCACATGGCTCATCCAGGTGCATGTGCACCCTGTTTTTTTTGTGACTGCAGCAGCAGCCTCAAGTCTGTTCTCTGGAAATATCTAATGATATGCGAGCATTTTCAAGCAAGTCTAAGTCTTAGAAGAAGGGGAATTGTTTAACTGTTTTATTTATTCACATCTCACATACAAGCACCAGCCATTGATTCAATTTTATTCTACAATAAAATAAAGCATGGAGCTTAACTTGTGGTAGTGTTGATTTTTTCTGATAATCCAATTCAATCAGATGTTAAAAGGTTGAGTTTAATCGAATAGAAACAAATTGGAAAACTAGTTTGTCAAGAATATGTTTGTAAGGTGTCCGATGTATAGTTTGGCATGAATTTAGTTTGCAGCATGGCTATAACTTCATGGGTTTGATCCAACATGAAGGTAAAAAAAACACAGTCCAATATAATCCGTTCCTGTGTGTGTTCTCGGAGATTTTCTTTGTGAGCCTATTTGTTATTTGCAGTACGACATTTTCGATGGACCTGTGCGCCCACAATCTCTTTTTCATGGTTACCCTGTTAAGTGTATGCAGAATCTCCTTAAAACTATCCAGTGACCTATAATTGGCTGCTATCTTGTCATAAGCTGTCTCATTTATCATCAGTCATTTCCACCGGCGTAACACTTAACATCCTCCTTTAGATGCATCACATTGCATTTTATGGGTCAGTTCAAATATTTTACAGGATCCCTCAGTATTTCCTTTTTCCTGGGCTGGACTAATAAACATGTACACAAAAATAAAAAGTAAAGAGAAAGAGAGCGAGAGAGAGAGAGAGAGAGAGAGAGAAAGAGAGAGTGAGCGAGAAATTGAACTGTCATTGGATTACAGACTTTGGATAGACCCCCATTCATAAACATAGTTTCAACTCGTGTCATTTCCTGGCAAACTTCAAACTAAAATTGTGGGGCTACCTCATTTAAAGATGATCTAAGTACATTTTTTTTTTTTTTTCC